GAAAGAACTGGGGCTGGACTGAGTCAGGTCATCTGTGCAGGGACTGAACTACCAATGCTCCCTGTGCGAGGGAAAATATCACGTGCATGAGGTGTTGCTGATCAGCAAAGAAATAAATCAACGGGAGCGTGATGGCAAATCATCCCAGCTAGCAATCCTATGCTCGGACGCACATGGGCTCACGCTCAAACGACAATATCCAGCCTGGGCGCACACATATCCAGCGCACGTGCACATGGGCGCGCACTCAAATAACGAAATTCAGCCTGGGCGCACATGGGCGCACACTCTAATAGCAATGTCAAGCTTGGGCGTGCATGGGCGCACACTCTTATTGCAATGCCAAGCTTGGGCGCACATGGGCGCGCACTCCAACTGTAATGCCAAGCTCAAGCGCGCATGGGCGCGCACTCTAACCGCAATGCCAAGCTTGGGCGCGCATGGGCGCGCACTCTAACTGCAATGCCAAGCTTGGGCGCGTATGGGCGCGCACTCTAACTGCAATGCCAAGCTTGGGCGCACATGGGCGCGCACTCTAACTGCAATACCGAGCTTGGGCGCACATGGGCGCATACTTAAAATGTAATATCTGGACTAGGTGCGCGCGGGCGCACTCTTAAAATAATATCTCGTCTAGGCGTGCGAGGGCGCACACTTAAAATATAATATTTGGTCTGGGCGCGCGCGGGCACACTTAAAATATAATATCTGGTCTTGGCAAGCGCGGGCGCACACTTAAAATATAATATCTGGTCTGGGCGCGCGCGGGCGCACACTTAAAATATAATATCTGGTCTGGGCGCGCGCGGGCGCACACTTAAAATATAATATCTCGGGCTCAATCTATTGGTCAAATGAAAGTGACAATTGGTCTTCACTTGCAACAGGATAGAGTGGTTACTGCATAATAAAACTTGGCCTTCACTTAGGGCCAACAGGATAGAGTGGTTACTGCATAATAAAACTTGGCCTTCACTTAGGGCCAGTCCACTATTGTCATCGAAAGAAAGTTGGTCAATAGTGCAGACTAAGCACTCAGTTGAAAATGATTCTCTGATACGGTGTGCTTACGGCGCTCAATTGAAAATGGTCCTACTCATTTGAATACAACTCTTCGATATGGTGCGCGCAAAAATCCAGAATAGTCTTTTAATCATGGTGTGCACTCAGCGTACTGTCGCAAAGTTCAGATAGTGGCCTTTAATCAAGGTGCGCACTCGGCGCACAGATGCGAATAGCACAATGTTCAGGAAATGGCTTTCAATCAAGGTGCGCACTCGGCACACAGTAATGAGTGAAATGGCCCTCAAGTATGACCCTCAAGTATAGTGCGCACACTGTGCATAATGACAAAACTGCGTAGTACTCATGTATGGCTCTCATGTATGGTGCGCATGCTGCACACAGCTCCAAAATGCGGGATGACCCGGTATGGCCCTCAAGTATAGTGCGCACGCTGCACACAGTTACAAACTGCGAAGTACTTCAGATATGGCTCTCATGTAAGGTGCGCATGCTGCGCACAGCTGCAAACTCCGGGATGACCCGGTATGGCCCTCAAGTAAAGTGCGCACGCTGCGCACAGTTACAAACTGCACAACGTGACCACACTATCATTCGGCGTGGCTCAAAATCGGTTTGATGACTGTGCAAGCAATCTCAAAATCGGTCTGGTTCTCAAAGTAATTGCGCTGGCAGTCTCACTCCCCGATAGACGAACAGTCACTCCCATGCTAAAAATAGCGTGGGACTGTGCTAATTTTAGAACGGGACTGGCGCAGGCCCAGTCCCCGGTAGACGAACAGTCAGTCCCACGCTAAAAATAGCGTGGGACTGTGCTAATTTTAGAACGAGACTAGTGCAGGCCTGACTTTGGGAGACGAACAGTCAGTCCCGTGCTAAAAATAGCACATGACCCTATCTTAATTACTCGGGCCTGGTTGTTCATCTATATGACTTCTTAGGGCTGTCCTTTTTCTGGCCAAATTATACGGCAGTGTCGGTCCGGTCCCAACCAGTCAAACTTGAATATCTCACTAACCCTTGGTCCGTTTCAGGTGCCGTTTGGACCGGATCCCACTAATTGGCCCATTGCGGTCGCGTCGGTCCCGTCCAACGGGGACGATTCAGGTCTTCGGGGAACCGTACCGCCGTGCGGTCTTTCCTTCAATTTCGGCCTAGGGGAAATGTAATCGATGTGTTAGGGTCCAGCTTGACCATGACCGTGCACGTCCAAGGAGCGATTTTGACGCAGCGCGGGGGTTGACCGCGGTGAGTCAATTTTCGCTGCTGCGCCGCATCGTCTTCGGATACCGGGTGTTGGGATTTGGTTGAAACGGTGGCAAAGCAACGACGGGGTGGAACTTTGGGGCCGGGTGGCAGTTTCTTTGAAAAATGCGGGACTAGTAGTTGCCCGTGGGACCGCGCGCTGGGTTTTGGACGAAATGGTGGCAAAGCAACGACAGGGTGGAACTTTGTGGGCAGGTGGCAGTTTCTTTGAAAAATGCGGGACCGGTGGCTGCCTGTGGGACCGCGCGCTAGATTTTGGTCGAAATGGTGGCAAAGCAGTGTGGAAAAGTGGAAAAGTTTGAATCGAAAAAGACGCGGCCTTGGCCACAGGTTGAAGCGACGCACCTGCATTGCATTTGCAAGTGCAAACAAATGTGTTTGAATATGGACGTATTCAACGCCCCACACATTCAACGCCCAATTGAGTGAGTCACATGTGCCCATTTTTCTTGTTGTCTGCGTGTCATCGCTCTCTCTCTCTCTCTCTCTCTCTCTCTCTCTCTCTCTCTCTCTCTCTCTCTCTCTCTCTCTCTCTCTCTCTCTCT